TCGCAGTGGCAGTGGCAGTAGCAGTAGCAGTGGCAGCAGCAGTAGCAAGAGGAGGAGGAGGAGGAGTACCAGGAGTAGGAGTGGTTGTAGTAGGGTTTAGCTTTTGCTTACTACGAAATAGGATCTGATGTTGTGATGCTCCAGGACATGGCATACCGTTCCCGGAATGACCTTCGCACGCACCGCGGCGAGTTTAGTGTTTGCAGTTTAAGCGTTTAAAGTTTTGGTTTGAGCCTTGAGGGCTTAGGAGGTTTGTTCTGTGGAGGGAAAAGGATTATTGGACTTGGCTTTCGGGTTTTGGTTCAAGGACTTGAAGGGTTAATTTGCCGTGAGGCTTACTTTGATGAAGCTGCAGAACAGGCTGTAGTGAATGTGTAGAGTAAGCGCACCGGAGCCCAGGTACAACGATTTCTGTGAGCAGGTCGGCATCAAAGGGCGTGGCTCGACCTGATGGAAGCAGCTGTCCGGGACGACTTTGGGGTCTAGTATGGTGGCATAGCGAGATAATGGGATAGTGGTACAGTGGCGGTATAGGGTATTGCGTGATAGCCGTAAGGTCGCTATAGCAGAATAGCGGTTTCGAGGCAAAACAGTTGCGGTAGCGCGGTCTTGGCAGTGGTACTGGTCGTGGTCTTGTTGGTGGCGGCCGCGTTGATGGTGGTGCTCATGGTGGTGGGGTAGCGTGTCGTAGTTATTGTAGTAGTTAGTAGCTGGGGTGTAGGTAGAGGAGAGGGAGCAGCAGCAGCAGAAGCAGCAGCAGCAGCAGCAGCAGCAGCTGCTTCAGCTTTGGTAGTAGTAGTGAATGGTACTATACCACTATACCGGTAAATAGACTATGCCGCTAGATCACTAGACCACTATACCACTCTACCACTATACCACTATACCACTATGCCACCATACCACTATACCACTATATGGGTTTAGAGGGGTCTAGGCTTCTCTTTCTCTAAAATAAGCACTCTGCTGCCTGTCTTTAGGGTCCTGTTAGTTTGAGCTTTTGCTAGTTTCATAGCCTGGTACCTACTTTTTTGGGGGATTTTGGGCCGGAAGTTTCTTTGATTACCACCCCATTTATTAAGTCCACTCTACGTCTAAGATCAATTGTTTTGGCCATTTTGGGTTTCGGTCTCTACGCAATTAAAACTAAACTTGCGCCCGTAAATTCCCGGGCCGGGAGGTTTTTTATTTCCACCCAGTTTATTGAATCCAATCTTACATTAGTCAGACATGGACTCACTCATGACTTGGTCATGAATTTCACTATTGCAGTTTTCTTCCTCGTGATGCTGCCCACTAACAAGAACACCCCAGACCCCAGACCGTAAACCCTGATCTCCCGACTTTGCAGCTTGCTTGCAACACAAGCCAGGGTCCAGGCCCAAGGTATCACCTCTAGAACCAACGAGTCGCCAGCCCTTTCGGAGACGCTTTCGAGGCGTGATTGCGAAGATCCGTGGCATGATGCAGCAGCTCGGAGAGTAAGGGGGACTAATCCTAATCCTTGCTTGCTGTGGGGTTTCTTGAGGATGAAGGACCGGAGATTCACTTTGGGACTAAGAGGGCGCCCGGCGCCCCGCTTGCTGAGCTCCACGTCCTAAGCCCCAAACTGTCAAAGAAGCGCAACGAACATGTTTCCAGCGCCTGCTTACTTCGGCGTAGGCTCGAAAGGCATGGGATTGGGGGTTGGGGAGACACAGCCCAGTTTCCGGAGGCACCGGTCAAAGGGTGCAGGGTTTTTGAAGTTTACTCACTAGGATAGTGACCGATGATTGCTTGCAACTTGTGGTCATCATCGCACGGTGACTGCTTCTGCTCCGGCCACCGTTGTTGATATCACAGCATCTTCTTGTGCAATTGTGAGTGAAATCTTAAGTGCTGTCGCCTTTCTGCTTTCAATAGGGTTTAGGGTTTAGGATTTAGGGCCTTGGCCCCAAAACCAAGCTGCACCCTCCACCCCCCCTCCCAAACGCAAGGTCCGTCGGACCCCAAGACCCCTAACATCCAGACCCCCCCCCGCCCTCCACCCAACAAAGGCACCGTTGCAAGCCCCTAGGCAGAAGGCCTCAATCACGAATTCCCTGAGCCCCAAAACACCTGAATGCCTACACCCTTATCCCGAAATCCAAAACTTGCCTTATAGACCCGATACTCGTCATAGCCCGTATGTAATCATAGTCTGCATGTTTTATTGCCTGAGGCCCCTACATCATAGAATCCTTGCTGGAAACCCTTATAGAGCCCTTTCAAGAACCCTTACAAAATCCCATTCTTATTCTGTGGGTGTGTTTGTTTTCTTCGGGCCTTTTCTCACGCCCCCAGGAACATGGACCGGGCGGACTTGGATCGGCTTTTGGACCCCTCTGAGGCTCCACCATGATATTTGTTTCATTTGTTGGTGGGCCGGGGGGTGTGTGGGGGAGGGGGAGGGGGTAGGCGGGAAGTGGGAGCGTCTTTAGGTCTAGGGCTTTTGCAATGGTTTCCTTTCATGGGCTCCATAAGGGCACTTGCACGGAGTTGGGGCTTTGGATGTTTTTCTTTGGGCGTGCGGGTTTTGGTGGGGGGGGGGGGGGGNNGTTTTAGGGTTTAAGGCTTAAGGCTTGAAGAATTAAATTATGCAGGGTGCAGGATGCTGGGGGTTTGGGGGATGGGGTTCAGGGTTTGGGGATGAGCGGGTCAGGATTCAAGTTTTCGGTTTCACCAGGGCTTTAAAGTTCAGGGTTCAGGTGCTTGCAGTAAGGGTGCTGGTTTCGGTTGGTTGGATGTAGAAGATATCGGATTTCAAGTGTTCCAAAGGTTGCATTGGTCCAAGCTGTAGGGGGAGTTACCTATTCAAACCAATTCTGTCACAAATCCGTCCAAATCCACGAAGTCTAACGTGCCCTTCTGAGAAGTAAGATAGAGCACCGCAGATCATGTCTTGTCTTCAGAGTCCTTTCGAAGCAGGCGGCTTCTATCAGGTCTGCCCGCAATCCTCCCCGCCAAGCTGCAAAGTGTAAGAATCCCTAAACCCTAATGGCACAAGCAAAGAGGAGTTCAACAAAGAGAAAGCTCTAAAGTTCAGGTGGACAACATCCGGAAGGCCCAGAATCCGAGCCGCGACAGCATTGATGTTTGGCTGTTTGGCCTGCGGTAAAGCATCGGCACCTGTGCCCAGAATGAAGGTTTCAGTTGTAGGGTCTACGGTTGATGATATAACTCAGAATGATTTTTAAAACTCATAGTGATGCTGGTAATGATATGAAAATGAATATTTTCTTGTAGCATCATGACTATTTTTGTTATTGCTACTAGTATTGCTATTGCTGTCGGTATCGTTAGAAGTATTACTATCATCATTGTCATCATAATTAAGGTTGTTATTGCTACTTTTACTATCGTTATCGTTTTTAGTATTCATTCAATACAATTAATGCTATGATTGTTGCTTTTATTATGATCATTACCATTGTTACTGTTATCGTTATCATTTTCATTATCATCATTTTTGTGTTAAAGAGTGAAATTATATTAGTACGAATATGCTCATAATCTTTTGGTAGCCATGATCGTCATAATAAGCATATGAAACATGACAACAACAAGAATTTATACCCATAACGCAACATGATAATGATGAAAATGTCACAAAAATAGAAATAGTAATGGTAGTGACAATGATAAAGTCTTGAAACAAAGCTACAGAGAAGGATCGGCATGGCCATCAATCGCATTCGGACCATTGAGAGGGAGTCCGGCCGTGCGCGGGAGCCGTGGGTGAAAGTTGACAGAATGACATGGCGTGGGGGCTGGAGGGGTTAAGGGTTCTACGCCTTAGAGGTTTAAGCTTTAATTGGGACTTCAGGACGTGGGATTAGACTTTCGATGGCATGCCAAGAGCAACCTTGCACATGTCCCAAAAAGGTTCACGGTTTTGTGAGGTTGTAAGATGCTTGAGATGTAACAGGGCCTGATGCACAAGCGCTGGGTTTCGTGCGAGGAAAAGGGAGTACCACGACACCGAAAAAACCCTGATCGACCCGAAACTTGAAGCCCATGCTTGCCAGTTCTGCCAGCAGTTGTGCTTCCGTTCTGCTGCAGGAGATGCAAGATCGCAAGGGAAGTGGGAAGGGCCGTGCGCCGACTCCCCCACAGGCTGCGCGGAGACACATTCCAAACCTCCAGCTGTCACCTCCTGAACCCAAAAGTCCTTAGCCCTGTAAATACCAATTACTAGTGCCAATTTCTAGTAGTCTATTGCTACTAAAGTCAAGTATCTAACTGGTATATTTGTGGATATATCTTTGATCTTATACCTAGCTCGTGCACCTTCCACTCGAAGCCGGGAGCTTTTGGTGTTGAGACCTCAAAACTTCGAGCCACGCCCTAAACTTTAAAGCCCTAAAACCTGGATAACAAGCTTGCAAACCTCGAGCCCTGTGGCTAACTTACGGTTCTTGAGCCCTACACCAGAGCCCACCGAGCTGTTGAACACCAGCAGTATTTTCTTCTCCGAAAGCCAGTCGACCTCTAACATTGGTTGTAGAGGACTCTTTGGTTGGCAGAGACTCGACATCAAAACTTTTAAACGTGAAGCCATACTCTCGAAACCCCGCAAGCTCTAGCTCGGACCCTGAGCCCTAAAACTTAAACCCTCAACCCTAAACCCTAAACCCCAAAGGCCCTAAACCTAAAATCCTAAACCCTAAACCTAAGCCCTAAGCCCTCAGAAACCCACCCAGAAGGCCCGGAGGAGCCTCTCACCGCCGCCGAAAGCCCGGCGGCGGCCAAGCAGGCTTTTGGGTTTAGGCATTCAGGGGTTCGGGGCTTTAGGATTTAGGGTGCCTTTGGGGGTGTTTATAGGGTTCCGGGTTTAGGGTTTAGGGGGTTTAGCGTTTAAGAGTTGAGTGTGGATATTTTCAGAGCGATTTCAAAGAGGTGTAGGTTTCTTAAGCAGGCGCTGGCCTGTTGGGCTCTTTGTTTCTGACGTGTGTTGGTTGAATTTTGGCTATCATCCTTGACAAGGCGTGCTCTCGAAAGCCATAAGCTCTTAACCTCAAAACCCGATACAGCAATCCTGACTTCCAACTTAGCTCAAGACCTCAAGCCTGCAAACCCTAAACCCTAAACCCCGTAAATGCCAAGCCCCAGATCCCCCAAGATCTGCAGCCCAAAAGTTGAAGTTGAAACCCTAAATGTCCCCTCATGTTAAGATCCCAAAGCCGAAGCCCCTGAATCCATTTAAGGGCCCCTCATACTTGATAGAACCTTTGTAGTATCCCGAAATCATTCTGTAGTCATTCTTCAGAAATATTTTTCATTAGAAGTTTACATTCTTGCCCTGGAAGACCCCCGTTACAGAGCCGTTCTAGACGATTTTGAACCCTTCCCCTAAACCCTAAGCCCTCATGCCTACTATAGGGTTTAGGGTTTAGGGTTTACCCTAAACCTCTGAACCCCTAAACCCTAAACTCCAAACCCCCAAGTGACCCCAACAAAGAGCCCCCGCTGCTTCTGCAGGAGCCGAAGCCGCTCGAACCCCTCTCCGAAGCGCGAGGCGCCCTCGATACCACACCCAGACAGAAGCTGAACATACACACATATATATATATACACACACATGTGCATGTATGTGTGTGTATATATATATATATATATTTACTTACATATATACAATAATGCAATACGATATTGTATAGTGCAGTACGATGCAACATAATAGAATTGAATTCAGAGAATGGAATAAACTAGAGCAGACTATCCCTTCTATCTATCTGTCCATCCATCTATCTATCTATCTATCTATCTGTCTATCTGTCTATCTGTCTATTCATCTGTCTGTTTAACCTATCTATCTATCTATCTATCTATCTATCTCTCTGTACATGCATGCATGCATAAACACAGCTGTACGCACATGGGTACTCTAAGGCTCTTGGTTACCTTTTTCCAAAACAAACTTGCGTGGCTCTTTCTGTTCTTTTGTGTTTTGTGGCTTCTTTTTGTAGGATCTGCAAAGCTGTGTGTTGTTAGCTTAGGAGTCGAGTCTAGGTATGAGATTTTGTCAGGTACTAGGTCGCTGAAATCGACCATCGTAGCCGCACAGAGTTCTAGTACCCTAAACCCCAAACCCCAAACCTTTAACCCCCCCAAAAAAATTTATGCCACTTGTATAAGCCCTTGTATCAAACCCCTGTATGAAACCCTAAACCCTCGACCCTCAAATCGCAGGGAACATCAGATTTGGCGCTCGGACTCGCCTCGTCTTCAGGTTTTTGAAGACGTCCCTGGAAGCCGAGTTTTTTCGAGCCACGTGGGATTATAAAGTTTACAGGGATGTGAGTACTCCCCTGTAGATAGGTTTTACTCTCAACAACAATGTAGATAGGAGTTATCAGGGGATATCAGTAATAGCTATTCCGGTTAGAAGGCTGTATCCCTACACCATAAGCCTTAAACCTTGAATCCCAAACCCTAAACAGTAGTCTCTGGTGAAGGGACACTCCACTCTTACGGAGGGTTTAGGGACGGTGTGTGGGTTTAGGGTTGAGGGAAGTTGAGAGCTACATCGCGTTAAACCAGAAGCCATCAAGCTTAAGCAACCTAAACTCTAAACCCTAAGCAAAAAGCACCCACAAACCTGAGGCCTTAAAACTTTACACAACCTAGCCCTGTTGGTCCAGTCCTAAAAGCCTGAAAAGTCCGCTAAGCTTTAATGCTAAACGACTTGTCGTAAAGCTTTAGGCTTGACCACGCTATTTCCAAGTCCAGTTCGAAGCCCTAAATCCGAAGCCTGCAGGCACGAGATCGCATTCTACTATGTATGTATGTCTATACGTATGTGTGATTATGTGTCTCTGTATGTATGTATGTATGTATGTATGTATGTATGTATGTATGTATGTATGCGTGTATGTATGTATGTATGTATGTATGTATGTATGTATGTATGTATGTATATATAGAGGTATATATATATATCCTAGATTGTCTATTAGACGAAGTAGATATTGAATATCGTATATTGTATATTGAGTCTTGGCGCTGTCGCCCTGGTCTTGGGTCACACAGGTTTGGACTCACGATTTGGGGTTGCCGGGAGTGCACTAGAGCCCACCCCAAACTCCAAACCCCAACCCTAAACCCTAAACCCTAAACCCTAAACCCTACCCTAAACCCTAAACACGAAGCCCCTAAACCCTAAACCCTATACCCTAAACCCTAAGCCCTAAACCCTAAACCCTATACCCTAAACCCTATACCCTAAACCCTAAACCCGAAGCCCCTACCACGCCATTCGGTTCTTCACTGCGCCCTGCAGGCGCCACCGCTGCCGAGACGTTTGAGGAGCCTTGGCACCAACCTTCCGAAGTCCATGAAACGCAAGAAACACATGTCCTAAAGCTGGGTTTAGGGTTTAGGGTTTAGGGTATAGGGTTTAGGGTTTAGGGTATAGGATTTAGGGTATAGGGTTTAGGGTTTGGGGTTTAGGTGTGAGTCCTCTTACGTTTGTATCAAGCCTTGATCTCCGAACCCCGAAACCCTAACCCCCCCAGGTCGCCAAAGCCGAAAGTGTACAGATTCCTAGAGGCTCACCTTGAGCCGGCGGTGAAACCTGGCCCTGCTTCTGTAAGGAGAAAGACTTTCTGTATGTCCCGACTCTTCAGGTCTGTTGAGTTCTCAAATCCCCAAGGCCTAAACCTCCAGTCCATGAGCCCGTTAACCCCGGTGAAGTCCGGAGAGCCTTCTAAAACCTCATAAACATCCGTTTAAGTTTCGAAAAAAAAGGCCCTTAAATGCCAAGCCCTCTACCCGATAAGCCCTGAACTCCCTACACCCGAAAGCCCTAAACCCTAAAGACCCTAAAGCCCTAAAAGCCCTAAAAGCCTAAACCCCCTAAAAACTCCCAGAACCCTAAACCCTAAACCCTAAGCACCGAGCCCTTCTCCTCGTCGCTCCGCTTAGGCCGGAGTCCGGAGGACCCGCGGGGCGGAAACCGTCGGACAGCCGCCGGCCCTCCAGGATCAGAAACCTTGCAGTTTTTTTTTTTGGGTGTAGGGCTTTAGGGCTTTAGCGTTTTAGGGTTTAGGGCTTCAGGGCTTTAGGGCTTTAGGGCTTTAGGGTTTAGTGCTTTAGGGCTTCAGGGTTGAGGGCTTTAGGGTTTTGAGAGGGTTGCGAAGGGGGTTCATGGCGGTACCTGAGATAAGCGCCTTGCCAAAGGACGATAGCAGATAGTACCCCCACTTTTCAGGTTGCCGAGGGGATACAGAGAGAGACCTGAATTATCAGACGAGGGTTATGCATGGGCATCTTCGAGGAGGCACATGTCGAAACGACTCAGGGCCCTAGTGCAGAATATCCCGTTAAGGTCCCTGGTGCGGTCATCGTATATATTATACTCCAGAACCCTATTCCAATCATCGAGGCCCCTGTGATATATCGGAGCTGCAGTGCACCAGGATTGTTTGTTAGCAGCATGACTTGCGGTTGTCCGTCAACAGCATAGCTTCAACTAGGACTAGGACTAGTTTTTTGGATTTGAGGGCTTGTCTGCGTATGTCGTCCAGGCAATAAAAAGCATGTATCCGATTTGGGGGTGTGCAGTTCTGCTGCTCTACAGCCGAAAGACTAGATTAATATGAGAAGACGAGATATCCTGAAGGTATTGTTTTTTTTTTCTTTTTTTTTTCGGGGGTCCTTATGATAATTATAGTATAATATACCCCAAACCCTATTCTAATTATTAAGGCCCTTCTATTAAGCCTGGGATCGAATCCCGACACCCTGGAGCCTGCAAGCGGAGGGACACTTCTGCCAGGCGGGCTGCCGATCGGGGCGCCTAGTGACTACTCGTGACCCCTCCGGCTGCGCACGAAGTCGAAAAGGGAGCCGGGTTGGGATTGGGATTGAAAGGTTTAGGGGTCTAGGGATTTAGGGTTTAGGGTGTCAGGGCGAGGGTGTAGGGTATAGTAAATAGCAAAAACGAGGGCTCAATTCCGTCAGCTCTGCAGTCCCCATACCCCCAAACACGAAAGATCAAGCCTAAAGCCCCGAACAGCAAAGTCTAAACCCTAACCCCTAAACCCTAAACCCTAACAAGCATCTCTCGACAGCCCCCAAGCGCCATCGAGCGACAGATCTCGCAGAGAGGGCTGAGAGGCGTTTGATCTGATGAACCCTTTCCTTTCAACCCCCCGAAGCTTCTAATGACTTCGGGTCAAGGTTTAGGGTCCGAAGTTTGTATGTGTGTGTATGTCTATGTATATATGAGTATGTATATATGATAGCTGGAAGGTTCATCATACAGCAAGGGTCCCCTGAACCCTTCCTGGGACTTCAACTTCCTTCTTTTCTTTATGCAGGGGTTAAAACCCTTTCATTATGTATTTATGGGGCCAGAACCTGCAAGATGGGCCCTGACCCTAAACCCGCATCCTTAAACCCTCAACGCTATGTCCCCAAGCCCTAAACCCTAAACCCAATGTCCCAAACCCTAAACCCCAAACCTTATGTGTCCAAACCCTAAACCCTAGACCCTGAAAAGAGGCGTTCAAAAAAAACCCTATGTCCCCAAGCCCTAAACTCTAAACCTTATGTCCCCAAACCCTAACCCCAAACCCTATGTCCCCAAACCCTTAACCCTAAAAAAAACCCAAACCCTATGTCCCCAAACCCTACACTCCAAACCCAATGTCTCCAAACCCTAAACCCCAAACCCAATGTCCCCAAACCCTAAACCCTAAAACCTAAACCCTATGTCCCCAGTCCCCCAACCCTAATCCCTAAACACTATGTCCCCAAACCTTAAACCCAATGTCCCAAACCCTAAACCCTAAACCCTAAAACCCTCATACCGATACCCTAAGCAACTGAATATCTGGGCCGTGCAAGGAACCAATGGCGACGCGGGCGGCCTAAGTTTTTCTTCGCCTTCGTAGGCTCTGGGGCCTCGTCTAGCGTTTCCAATACCTTTCTGTTATAGAATTAATCTACAAGACCCTAAACCCTAAACCCTAAAACCCGAAGCCCTAAGCCGGGTTGATCAGGGTTTAGGCCCTTTTTTTTTTTTTTATTGCGTTTGATCTTTTCCAAGGCTTTTTGGATGGTTTTGCTCAGTTTCTTTCTTTCCTCCGGGCTGTAGGCATGGTTGTCATCGTTCAAGGCGCGAGGCCCAAAACCCCAAAACCCCAAAATCCCTAAACCCTAAACCCCTAAAACCCTAAATCCCTAAACCCAAAAACCCTAAATCCCTAAATCCTAAACCCTAAATCCCTAAACCCTAAAACCCTAAATCCCTAAACCCTAAACCCTAAATCCCTAAATCCCCAAACCCTAAATCCCTAAACCCAAAAACCCTAAATCC